TGTGGAATTTGATCCCAAAATTATAGATTTCATTCGATTTTGTCCTTCTTCCTTTTAAATTACTTAAAAACGGGTCGATACTGAAACAAAAGAAAATCAACATAAGTTAAGTAAAATTCAATAATTTGACTACATAAAAGTTTAGTAATATGATCTAATTAAGTGCACAAAACTCACTTATCATACACTTGCTATTACAACTAACAGGCTTCTAAAAACCTTGCCGACTTTAGGCCTCCACCCTAGAATATTACCAAGAACAAGGGAATGTTTGGATTTGAATGAACTATCTCCATAATATTCTTTCTTCGTCTCTCTCGTTTGTCTCTGGGTTCTTCTGGTTTCTAGCCTAGATTGAACCTTGTAAATTGGGTGTGTTACATTAATTTTACATGCCTCTAATGTTGGCTGCGTTTGTGAGTCATTGTATAGATTTACTAGTGTTGGTTTTCATCCGTGGGTTAGAATCCGGTTCTAGAAGTGCCTTATAGTTCTTGATCATAATCTTTGTCTGATTTTGATTCTATGTACATTGTACTTTCTCTAGAAGGCTGTTGATGCACATAGTGAATGGGTTGATCGCTGAGCTCTCGAGATTAGGCATTTGTTGAATTAGGTAACATTTTTGGTGTTGTGTTCTTTACTGCTCTGTGTTTGTCTCTTTAAATTGTTATCAAATCTCTCTTTTTGCACGAAAACCCAACATTTTTTTTCTATTAATTACCAACTCTATAAATCAAGGTTCATAGAATTCCAATTGACCTTCAAAACTTCAGTCTAACGCTATCCCAAAATAAGTACCCCAAGCATTTTTGGAAAATTCATGATAATTATGCTATTTTAACATTAATTGTGGTTTGCTCGTTCTGGTTTTAGAATTAATTACAATTTGGAATACAAATAAATATGCATTGCGTTACACATTCCAATTTGAAATCGGGCAAAGTCCGTATACCATTTTTATAACAACGTTATTTTTAATATTTAGCCTCACTGGAATTACAACCCCAATTTAGGTGGCATTAACACAGTAATATCCCTAATTAAACATATTTATAACATTAAACATGCATACAGTGCAAATTTCAAATAAAAGAACACTAAAAACAAAATTATTCTTCATTTTTAGCCTATAAAATAAAGGCTTCAAAAAAATGACTTTGAAAATTTTATGAAAGAAAAAAGACGGGTGTTGGGTTCTCACCTCATTTATAATACTTAAGTGAAAATTACACCCACGTGTGGATTTCAACTTCCAACTTCAAAATTCGAGTTTAATACTTATTTACTCAAAAATCAGGTGATAATTCAATTTTTAATTGTTAATTATAATATTATTAAATTAAATTAATCTACTTTTTAATTTTGTTACTCTCTCTATACAAAAAAAAATCAATCAATCTCTCTCTACAACCTACACACCTTAACCCTATTTCTTATTTTACATGATCATAGAAACAACCATTTTCTCCGTCGACAAGTAGAAGAAAGTTGGCTCCGACAGCTCTAACGACAACAGGTAGAAAAATAGCCATTTCTCCGGATGTCGCTGCTGTTTTCGGCTTCGTGTGCAACGGGGCTCACCACCACTGCACACAGGGACAATGCATTTGGGGTTTTCTGGTGGTTTCTTCCTCTTCCGATCTATTTAGTGAGATGGTTTTCGTTGGTTGTTTGCAAATGGTGGTTGTTGGTGTGGCAGTGGTGGTGGTGGGGTAAAGAGCGTTTGTGACCAATTAATTGTATGATTGTAATCAACAAAACAATTAATTTGTGACCAATAAATAATACGTGATCTAAAAAAATTGAGATTGTGACCAAATTTATAATTTTGTCTCATGAATTATTAAGTTGTGATTAATTAATTTGATAATTTCTAATCGAAAAAAAACTTATGACCTACAAAATTTATGATTTGTGATCAAGAAATAATGTGTGACATTTCATAATTTATAACCAATAAATAAATTGTGATCTATAAAATTTGTGATTTGTGATCCAAAAATAATGCGAGGCTAATTAATTTGGTAATTTGTGATCGATAAATATGTTGTGGCCTATAAAAATTGATATTTTTGCTCGTAACATTATGTAATTGTAATCATAAATTATATAATATTATGACTTCAATATTATAACCTAGTTTTTGAGACTTTAAAACAAGTTACTTAATTTTGAAATTGTATATTATAACTACCTTATATATATGTATTGTTATCTATGTTTAATTAAATGGATTTCTCTAACATTCATTGATGAAGAGCCCGTTAAAAGTTGTTGTAATGCATTTTGTTTCTCAAACAATTCAAGTGAGACTTTTAGAATAAAATTGTTATAGGTGAGAAATTTGCAATTAGTGACAATGTCACAGACATAGAGTACTCGATGATACTCGATATTAAAACGAACAAAATTTTAGTTTTTTTCTTAATAAGGTTCACCTCAAATGCATCATTAATACAAAAGATCATATCTACAGCAGGTGAGAGGAAAACAGTAATATATTAAAAGGGCATGCATTAACACAGGAACAAAAGCAACATTTTTCAGAAATCACAATTACTTGAAGATATGAAAGAGCAGCATAAACTACAACTGAAACTCATATGTTGTACCTTTTACATTCATGTTTCATATATTAAATTATCAGTGCTAGATCCCACATAAACCTTAAAGAATAATAACAAACGGAAGACAGAAGCAAATCACTACCCCATTTCCTTATCATGGTGAAACACTCACACCAGCACCACCCTCTGTGGATCCAGTAGGGCTGATGGGCTGAGATGGAGGTGGAGGACATATGATTCCAAGGAATGAGCACAACGACCCAAAGTCGAGTCCCGGGTTGGGAAAAAATCCAGGCAAACCTGGACTGGGGAAGGTTAAAGGTGGCCCCCGGAATCCAGGGGGGAAAGGACTTGGTAAAATTTCAGGGAACCCTGGAGGTCTAATACCAAAGGTCTGTGGCTGAACAACTTCCTCATTGCTCTTGAGACTTCTTGCTTCTGTAACATTCATTGTGAGGGCACCAAGAAGCACATTAAGAATGAAAACCACTTTAGCAAAACCCTCCATTTTTAACTCTCTCCTTGGATCTTTCTCTAATTTCTTTGGTAAGTTTTATGCTGTGATGTGGAAAAAGACTTGCATGGAAGTGTATTTATACTAGAGTAATGTCCTTTTGATTAGTGAACATTAAATGAGACAGGTAAGTGCTATTAACCCTTCTACTCAATTTAAGGTTCCGTTGAATTACAATGTGAAAACAGGACTAGGAAAAACCAGCCTATCCAGTTTATACACTCTAGCTAGATATTTGGTATGTAGAAAACAAGGTAATTAATGACATGGTAGCTGAATATTTGGTACGTTGAACTAGATATATGTGTTGATTAATTACGTACAGTTCAACATACACATACACCGTTAAGTCAAGCTGTTATAATAAAGATATAAACAATGACTGTTGTCATTATCATTGTTGATCCTTGGACATTTGACTATGCAGGACTGAATATACAAGCATGTTTTCATGTTGTTGAATGGAATTTATGGTTTTTTACCAAAATGAAATGAAGTTAATGAAGGGTGAAAAAGCCTAAAATTCTTGGCACAGTAAAAATTTTCATTAAGAGATGTGAGTATTTGAATCCTCATTAACTTCCAATAATATTTTCCTATAAAGGGCGTTTCACCAAACCAAAAGTAGTTGAGTAAGTTATTGCTAG